TGACAGGCACAAGCTGGTATAGAAAACATATTTGAACTTGGTCAAAGTTCATTCTGCAATGACATGCTACATGGCAATGCACACTTGTTTTTACATCGTAAAAACCCATGTCTAGTTACTTACTGAGTTTGCCAAAGTCTTTTATTAATATTTTTTATGTTACACCATGACAACCTCCTCTGTCATACCAAGTCTCTGCATATCCTCTTCATTGCATCCATGGACCTTCTCGGTGCTCTTCCTCTTTGCCTCCCTCCCTGGTATTTTCAACATCCTTGTTTCAACATAATCACTGACCCCACTCTGCACATTTTTTATCTTTGTCTTAAAACCACTCAACCTGACCTGCCCATCTATTTTACTCATTTTTCATCATGTCTATTTTGATCACTCCCAAAAAAACATCTTAACATCTTCATCTCTGCCACCTCCAGCTCTGCCTCCTGTCTCCTTCTTAAAGTCCCCATCACCAAACATCACAGCAGGTTTCACCACCATTTTGTAAAACCTTCTCTTTCACTCTTTTAGCTTTTCTGTCATAAATAATCCCTGACTCTTGTATCCATCACTCCACCCTGCCTGCACTCTCTTCTTCACAYCTCTTCACCCATTGCTCTGAATGGTTGATCCCAGGTACTTAAACTAAACTAAACCATGCACCTAAAAAGACATGTTTATCATTTAGTTATCRACAGTTTTATCTTTTCAGTAATGCAGCATCAATAAGAAAACACACACTTCAGGGTACAAACCTTGGGTTGTTGTGCCTCCATTGCTTTTTTCCCATCCCAGGCCCAGCTCCTTTTGGTAAAATAGTTCACTGTGGCAAATTCAATGAGGGCTGAGAAGACAAAAGCGTAGCACACAGCAATAAACCAGTCCATGGCAGTGGCGTAGGCCACTTTAGGGAGGGAGTTTCGGGCACTGATGCTGAGGGTGGTCATGGTAAGCACCGTGGTCACACCTGGTTATAGAGAAACACTTGGTCAGTCTCAGTTGTCACACTTGCAGCTCATTTTTTATTTCAGCAGATTAAGTCTTGGAAGAACAAAGGCAGTTCATGTGGGGAAAGGTAATATGGACAGATCAGGCAGCAAATGACTTTCCTCCTCAATGCAGCTGCATGTTCAAGACTCACCAAACACGGTTCTTGCTGGCACAGACTCTCGGTTGAGCCAAAAGGAGACTTGGGACAGGATTACAGTCATGAAACACGGCATGTAGGTCTGAATGACAAAATAACCAATTTTCCTCTTCAGGTAAAAATGAGCCATCATCACTGTGTACTCTCCTGTGGGAAACAGGAACAAAAGGATGATGGTCAGGGGCGGCATTTTAGTTTAATATCTTTTTTAACCTGTTTTTTATAATAACCTGGAGCATCACTGAGGCAAATGTTTTTGATGGAGATGGTAGAGAGTACAAAAACAGTATGCAACTGACTGTACATATGTACACTGTATCATTCTGTTTATTTGGAAAAATAAAAATTAGGTTTTGATTAAGTGTTTTATTTATTCTAAGTAGTACCTGTAATAGTAGTAGCATTAGTAGTGATTGTAGCAGTAGTTGTAGTAATAGTAGTAGTGGTAATATACTGTAAGTAGTAAATTTAGCTGTAGTAGTAGAGGCAGTAGTTGTAGTATAGTAGTAGCAGCAGCAGCAGTAGTAGTAGTAGTAGTAGTAGTAGTAGTAGTAGTAGTAGTAGTAGTAGTAGTAGTAGTAGTATAGTATTAATAGTAGCAGTATAGCAGTAGAGATAGCAGTAGTATTAGCAGTTTAGTAGCAGTAATATTAGTAGAAGCTGTACAGTAGTAGTAGCACATTATTAGCAATATAGTAGCAGTAGTAGTAGTAGTAGTAGTAGTAGTAGTAGTAGTAGTACTAGTAGTAGTAGCAATAAAGTAGTAGTAGTAGTAGTAGTAGTAGTAGTAGTAGTAGTAGTAGTAGCAGTAGTAGTAGCAGTAGTAGTAGCATTGTAGTAGTAGTATAGTATTAATAGTAGCAGTATAGCAGTAGAGATAGCAGTAGTATTAGCAGTTTAGTAGCAGTAATATTAGTAGAAGCCGTACAGTAGTAGTARCACATTATTAGCAATATAGTAGTAGTAGTAGTAGTAGTAGTAGTAGTAGTAGTAGTAACAGTAGTAGTAGCATTGTAGTAGTAGTACTATTAGTAGTAGCAGTAGTAGTATTAGCAGTACAGTAGCAGTAGTAATATTAGTAGACATTACCAATGTATGGATCAAAATGATAATTATTCTAAATCTTGGTTAAATTTTTATTGTATTTACATCATGACTAAACTATCATAACTTAAAATAAATACACTTACAGTTTAAAAGTAAAACTCCTGTCAAATAATCACAAGACATGATTGTGACAAACATTTGTTTATATTGT